TCTTTAGTTCTTCAAATGCTTCCTGGCACTCCGTTGTCCACTTGAAGCTGTTTGCTTTGCGCATGATCTGGAAGAAAGGAAGTGACCTCTCGGCTGACTTGGAGAGAAAACGGCTCAGGGCCGCCAGGCGCCCTGTTAGCCGCTGTACCTCCTTGACGTTGCGGGGCGACTCCATGTTGATGATGGCCTGTATCTTCTCCTGATTTATTTCAATGCCTCTCCGGCTGACCATGTAGCCGAGGAACTTGCCGCCTTGGACGCCAAAGACGCACTTCTTGGGGTTGAGGCGGAGTTTGAACTCCTTCATGATATCAAAAATTTCCCGGAGGTCGTCAGCATGTGTGGTGGTCTGCTTGCTTTTAACGATCATGTCATCGACGTATGGGGGACCGTCCTGAAGATCTTAGCCACCATTCTGGTGTAGGTGGCGCCTGAGTTTTTGAGTCCGAAAGCCATGATGAGGTAGCAGAAAATTCCCTCCGGGGTCATAAAGGCCGTCTTCTCGGCGTCATCTTCATGCATGAAAATCTGGTGGTACCCTCTGAAGGCGTCAAGGAACGACATCAACTCGCATCCAGCCGTCTCGTCCACCAATTGATCAATGTTGGGGAGAGGGAACGGGTCCATAGGGCACGCCTTGTTCAGGTCAGTGTAATCAACACACATTCTGAATGTCGGCGGTTTTTGGGCGAGGACGACGTTGGCTAGCCACGTCGGGTACTTCACCTCCTTGACGTGGTTGATTGAGAGGAGCATGGTGACCTCCCCCTTGATGAAGTCCCGTCTGTCGGCGGACAAGTAGCGTCGCTTTTGCTTGATAGGCGCGGAGGCCGGATCGACGGTCAGCCGGTGGGTGATCACCTTCCGGCTGATGCCTAGCATGTCGTCCGAGCCCCACGCGAAGATGATGGCGTATGACCGTAGGACAATGAGGATGGCGTCTCCCTGGTCCTGCGGGAGTTGCTTCCCAATTTTGAGGACCTGCTCCGGCCGGGAGGTATCCAGGGGGATCTCCTCGACCTCTTCGGCTGGTTCGGCATGCGGCCTCTCCTCGTCCATGGCAACGGCCGTCGTAATGGTGTCTATTCTTTGTCCTTCTCTTTTGGCCGACTTCGTTAGCTTGAGGTAGCATGCCTTGGCTATCCTCTGGTTTCCTCTGGCGCAGCCGATGCCGCCACTGGTGGGGAACTTCAAGCATAAATGCTTCATGGAGATGATGGCCTCCAGGTCCTCTAGTGCTGGCCGCCCCCAAATCAGGTTGTGGACGCACTGAAGGTTGACCACCATGAACTCCATGTTAATTTTGGCGCGGTGGGAGCCGTCGCCGACCTCCATGGGGAGGACTATCGTGCCTTCGGCGTCGATAGAGTCCCCGGTGAAACCGGACAACAGTGTCTTGATCGGCTTCAGCAGAGCTTTGTCCAGCTTCAGTTGCCTGAAGGTATCCAGGTACATCACATTGACAAAACTCCCCGTATTGATGTAAGTGCGGTGGATGATGGAATTACCGATCTCACACCGGATGACGAGGGCGTCCCTGTGTGACTCCGTACCTGGAGGCAGATCCTTGTCAGTGAAGGTGATCGCCTCCGTTCGTTGCTTCTTCGGCTGGGGGGGAACGTGGGACACCTCCCCAATGTAAAGGGATTGGGCCCATTTCTTCCTCTGGGTGACAGAGTCCCCCCGGTGTTTCCACCTACGATGAGGTGAATGTGGTTCTTCTTTGGTGGAGGCTCCTCAAAGTCTTCATTATCGCTGAGCCTACCGATCTCCCGATTCTTCGTAGAGGGTTCGCCCCCAGATTTGCTGGTGTTTACCCACGTATTTTTTCGCGGGCCACCTTTAACAAATTGGGAGGTTCCCCTGACGAATCAGGCACTCGATGGCTTTCTTCAGCATGATGCAGTCGTCGGTGTTGTGGGAGGCGTTCTTGTGGAACCGGCAGTAGGTACCGCCTTGCTGGATGGCATGGACTTCTTCCGTCGGCCGAGGAGCTTGTTCAATGAGGTCGTGCTTCTCGACGTAGTCGAGGATGGTGCTGACCGGGTGTGTGAGGGGGATCCCCGACCGTTCCAACCTCGGCCGCCAATGGCGGCCTTTCTTGCTTTGTCCACCAGAGCCGTGACGGCCCTGGGCACCCTTCTTGGAGGGGTGGCCTCCGTCCTTCTTGTGGTTGTGGAGCTCGTCGGCGTCGGCGTACAAACTCCCGCGCTAAAGCGCCTTTGCATACGACCTCGGAGGGTCGGTGATGAGGCTCCTGGCATACGGGGAGCTGCGGAGGGCTCCCTGGTAGAGGACGAGGAGGGTGCGCTCATCGGCCCCCTCGACCTCTTTGGTCTCCCTCGTCCACCGATCAATGAATGACCGGAGGGATTCGTCATGTTGCTGCTTGATGGAGAGGAGATGGGTGAAGTACTTCTTCGCACGCTTCCTCCCAGCAAAGTGAGTGAGGAAGCGTTGGGCAAGGTCCTGCCATGAGTCTATACTTCCTTCGGGAAGCACGTTGAACCACTCGTACGTTGGTCCTTCAAGAGTGGAGAGGAACCAACGGCAGAGGTATTCATCCGACGTGTTCACCATCAGCATGCTGTTCTGGTAGCGGCTGAAGTGTTCCTGGGGGTCTGATCGGCCGTCATAGGATTTGATGGCGTTTCCCCTGTACGTCTCTGGGATGGGAGCCGAAAGCACTCTGTTGGTGAAGGGAGTCCTGGTCCTGACCTGGATGACAGGGTCACCCCGCCCCTCGGCCAACTCCTTCTCAAGGGCGCTGACCTTGTTCATGAGTGCGTTAAGGTCGGATCGTTGGAGGCGCCGGCCGTGGGAATGTTCGCCGATTGTTTGGCCTCCCTCTGAGCCAGTCACCTTTCCAGTTGGGCGATAACCTCGTCCCGAGGGTCCTTGGCGGCCGTAGTGGCGCCCTGTTGGTTTCGCATGCGGACCTCGTGGGCCGTGTTGATCTGATGGCACACGTCGTCCTCATGCAGCTTTCCTTTGCCTTTGTCCAGGCGGGCCCGGTCCGCTGTCCGGGACACAGACCCCAAGCTTTCCCTTGGTGAGCCAGACTGGCGCTCACCAATCCGTCCCGCCATCCTCTCCAACACCGGACAACGGCGCGTGTCACCCAGCCTGTTGAAGACAGAGGCTTTTCCACGCGCTGGGGTCGGTCCGGGCCGAATAGGAGAAGCAGGGTGGGAGTGGAACGACGCCGTGTCCTGGGCTATTATCCCCTCATCGTTGCCTAGCTTGATGGCCAACGGTTGGGGCTGAGGAGGCGGTGTGGTGTTCCCCCCGGCCCCAGGTATGAGTGCACTGAGGACGGTGGGGTTCTGAGCCAGGCTGGTGATGATGGCCGAGAGCGCGGCCTGAAGCTGAGGGTCAACGACAGGAGATGCCGGTTGCGCCGAGGCATTGTCGCCTTTCTCCGCGCGCTTCTTGTCCAAGCCGAGGCGGGCATCAGGGGCGTCGTCGTTGAGCTTGTTGCGCAGGTCTCCTGCGAGGTCGATGGCTTCCTAGAAGACATCCCCCTCGGCAGCCTTGTCGGCCGTGGCGTCCTCCTCCCGTTCCCTGTTCTCCTGGTCCTCAGGGATGGCTTTGCTGACGAGGTTGCGGTTTGACTTGGATCTTCCCATGATCAGTGGTTAGCTGTGCTTGGTAGCGACGAAGGATGCTAACTTGATTGTTCTAGCTCTCAATGAAAGCACCAAATGGTAGAGTATATTCTAGAGAGAGGTGAGAGCTAGAGAGAGAAGTGCAAGTAAATGCTTCAATAAATGATTTTCCAACCCCTACAACTACTCCCAAAGGGAGTATTTATAGGGAAAATACGGGTTGGGCTCCCAAGCCTTGGGCTTGGGAGGCCCATTTACAACTGGACCGCTACTGGGCCGAATACAATGTGTGTAGAAATGATTAAGTGTAAAATCTAGCCCTGTGAGGCTTCCGTGGCCGACGAGGGCACGGCCGATGAGGGCACGACCGACGGGGGCACCCAAGTTCCCTGGCTTCAGGATCATATTCTGAGTTGGTCCCTCTTCGGCCGATGGGGGTCCTTTGGCCGACGTGGGCACCACTTAGTGGCTTGTACTTTCTGTTCTTCTGAGTATGTGAGTCCTGGGGCCTAGACCCATATACTCCATCAGTGTTCATTAACAAACACTATAGGACAACTATAAAAAATACTACCTCCGTCCCTTAAAACTTTGCCAAAGTTGACCGGCACGGAGAATAATAAAATAAAAACTGTGTGGTTGAGGTTTGTGCATAGGAGAGAGAAATAACAGAAACCACAAAATAATTGATTAAAAGGGAAAATGGCAAAGTTTTTTGGGACGTCCCAAAAAGGAAAGATGGCAAAGTTTTAAGGGACGGAGGGAGTAGGATCTAACAAAAACCCTGGCATCTTTGTAAAAGACTAATCTTATACAAATAATTTAACTCCTCGTTTGTGCATATAATGTCCATATTTTCTCTTACTTAGCTTTTCAAGGGAGCTAGAATGATAAAAACTAACTTAATCGCTCACATACCTCTACAGGGTTTCGTAACACTCATAATGATAACTTTTACGATAGTATTACATGATGAAATATTGTAAACCACATACAGTATATCATTACAAAAGAAATATGGTATTCCTTCCTTCCCACTAACATTGGAATAAGAGGGAGTGACACACAAATAAATAAAAAATGATTTACATTATTGATATTGAATTGATAAATTAAGAATGATTTAGAACCACACAAACTTACCAAATTTGACATGAAACAATTTTGATGGAACGAAGCGAAAAGGTAAAATGACGCAATCTTAACCTGACGGAGGAAATACTTATTTTAGGATAACCTAACTAGAAAAATAGAACATGTAAAATAAGAATGGAGGAATTATTGTTTCTAAAATCATTTTAAAAATCACTTGGAAGCAATTACATTTGCAACCAAACATTCGACACGTGGCTGTCGGTCAACATATTAACTTCATTTGTCATCATCTATATGTTTATATATCTATCTTATCTATATTCTCCACTCTTTGAAATCCATGAAACGCCATTTTTGGTCGAGGGGAAACCACCCACGGCGCCGCTGACGATGGCACCCATAACCGCCGATGGCAGTTCCAGTAGAGGGCAAGATGCGCCGTCAACTTCCGGTACCAAAAAAGGGTGCTTGTCGTTTACGACTTCTATGCTGGAATACATCCGTTACATCAGAGCGTTTTTTGTAGGCCAGGTTTGCTTTTGGGACTACCTAATATTCTAATAATCTGATATAGAATCATTTTTAAGATTTGGATAAAATAAATCCAAAGTTAACAAGTGTGATGGGAAGCAGGCAAAGAAGATGACAGCGAGAAGCGAGGAAGAGGCGGCGGAGGCTGATTTACATGCCTCGAAAATGGAGGTCGAGGCAGCTGATGCTGCTGAACATATCAAGAAAAAGTTTTAGAACTGTAATACCATTCCAGTTTTGTTGCTTTTGTCATGTACCCCCAACCTTACCTGTACCAAAGCACAAAGAGTGAGTCAGAGACCGCTTTTGTTTACATGTACCAAAGTACAGAGACCGCTTCCGAGTGATCATAGTAGTTTTGTTGCTTTTGTACGTATTGAAATTTCATTTTCAAGCTAAATGCAATCTTCGTTTACATAGCGGCTTGATTGTGTGTTTTCTTGATTTGGATCTTTTCTTGTCGGCTTATTGGAAGAGCAACAAGTCCACAACAGAATATTTAGAAATATGAACCAGTAACACAAGTTAAGTTCTAGAATTATCAGAGGCTATGGATATGGGAGAACTTGCAATACCTCAACATATGCATGGACAGGGCCCGGGCTTGGAAGATTTTGGGTAAGTCCCAGGACCAGGCCGGGAGTCTACCGGGCCGGTTCTGGGCCGGGTCTATTTTTTTTGGCTTTTCTACTTAACCAAAAGGTTGAGTTCTCAACCCTAAGGGTCCAATACACCCTAGCCCAACATGGTATGAGGGGTTGTAAATCCCGATGGATCAACTCAGAAGATAGGCTAGGTCAGTGCCCGAGGTGACTCCCACGGACACACTCCCACGGACACACTGCCGCTTGTGTAGGAGTGGACTCGGGCCGGGCCAACCGGCCCGCTACTGTGCGGGCCCGGACCGGCCCGCTACTGTGCGGGCCCGGACCAGCCCGGTGAACCGGTTGGTGCCCGGTTCGGGCCACCCGACCCGGTGAGGTAGGCGGTTCGGACCCGAGCCTGCTAAATAGTGAACCGGCCTGGCCGATTCCGGCCCGGTCTGGGCCAATTTATTTATTTATTTTTGTTTTTTGAATTTTTTTAAGTTTTTGGGTTAGACTGGGTATGATGGGCCATTTGAGGTGGTTTGGGGTGGTTTGGGAGTGAGGGGGGAGGGTTTGGGGTTAATTAGGAAAAGCCAAAAAAAAATGAACCGAGTCCCAGCCCGGCCCGGACCCGGGGTTACCCGGACCGGTTCCGGACATCCCCTTTCATGAACCGAGGCCCGGCCGGGCCCAAGCCCGAACCGGAACCGATCCACCCCTACGCTTGTGTGACTCGATTTTAGATCACTTGTTCTAATTTTTGTGATCAACGGCATAATCTAATTTTACATGATTCAATATAAAGTTAAACTAATTTTACATGATTCAATATAATGTTAAATGTAATTTTATACTTTCAAAAACTATATCAATTCTTTTTTAATTTTTACTAATACGTCTACTTTAATTCCTTCAAGCTTGAGAGGGCTATGCTCCAAAAATAAAGAAATGAATGTTATCAAATACTCCAAAAATACCTATACTTGTTTGTTGTCTATTTATATCTAAGAAAACAAATAGCTCCTCCAAATACTATTTTACCCCTACATAAGCATACATGTCACTCAATCCTAATTTTTCTCCTTTGCTATACTAATGCCATGTGGCTTCCTCATAGTGAAGTAACGTTTTTTTATGCCTTAACAAACATGGCATCTATTAAGTGAGTATTAATTAATGGGACCCATCACATATAAAAATACTATTTTCTTTAAACTGTTTTATCTTTTTCATTTTTTCTCTAATTTTCATTAAAAAAATAATCAAAATTCATCATTTTTTATGATCTTTCATATGACATCAATATTGCATATATAAAGATAGAAAAAAAAAACTGAATATTTCATAAATAATCTTCCTATTTTCAAACCTTGAAATATATTATTCTGTATCAAATAAATATATAATTCCTAATGCGGAGTATATGAGTAAAACAATTCCTAATGGCGGTTTGCTCCATCCGCTGAAATCCAAACAAGCTTGATAGCAGATTCTGTGAGCTTTTATAACTAACCGCTTTCATTAGCATTTGAAATAAAATGTTAGTAACTTAACTGTTTGCAATTAATTGTTAAGACGTAAAATTATCATTAAAGATTTGAATTTAAAAGTTTATATATTTATCTTAACTTATTTTTTTTATTTTTAATAAGTCTTTGAAAAGGTTTTAAAAATTATATTTACATTTATTTTAAATAACCATGGAGTAATTTTTTAAACAAAACTAATAAATAGTCATATGAAGTTGAGTTATGGAGTAGATTTTGAATGGAGTAGACTTTTAAAATAACTAATAAATAGTCATATTTAAAATATTATTACTAGAAATATATGAATTTATATGTGTCTGCTCGCATTAAAAAAATAGAATTAGAATGATTAAAAAGAAAATTCTAGAATGTAACTGACGATTGTTGCTCTATGTTTTTTAAGTTTTGTGAATTAATTTCATTTATTTAGAAAAAAAGGCATGAAGCCACGTGGAAGAAATAGAGAAAGAAGTGGGATTTTTAGGAAGATAACACGTGGATGATGAAATGAATTCACAACTAAAAAACGCAGAGCAATAACGGCCAGTTCTAGAGTTTCTTTTTAACAATTCTAAAATACCTAATCAATCATACGGCCAATTCACAACTTTTTTTTAATCAATCATACTCCATATATTGCGACTCTATGACCTTGCAATTCTGTTTCCAAGTCTAAAATTCAGTCACCACAATTTAATTGTTTGATCTTCAAGGTTTTTTTATTACTCATTATTACTCAAATACAAATTTACAATCATTCTCCAAAACAAAATTCAAAACAACTTTCTATATATCATCTTTGTAAAAAAAGTAGAGCTTATGAGTTTAAGATTATTAATACACAAACAATATAATATTCTATTTGGTCAAATATTCTTATATTCTTATTACTTTTTTCCGTATATAATACTCATCCGTCCTATTTTCCGTATATTTTTTATAACAAATGGAGTACAAATAATTAAAAAGGTATATCACATGATAAAACATTTTTTTAAGTTTTAATTTTTATATTTATATATGAAATATTGGTGTCATATGAAAGATAATAAAAAATTAAAGATATAATTTGCATATATTTTTGTAACAATTGAAGTATAAATGAAAAAACAAACGTTTTTATAAATACTAGCTATTTGCATTGTATCTATTTGCATTGTAATCATATCACCCTTGAAAGTAAAGAAAAGTATTGAAAATGTCAATATTGTCAACATTACAATATACTTTTATTTAAACTTTAGATTTTAAATTTTGATGAATATACACAAATTAACATTCTCAACTTCATGAATCTAACAGTAAAGATTAATTAAGACATAATTATAAATAGAGTTAGTAAGTTAGTTATATTCAATATATCATCTTTGTAAAAACAACTTTCTATATATGGACCCACTGCTTTTTTCTCATGCGTATGCACGAGTACTATCATAATGCATGTCGGTGTGTGCGAATTGTGTAACACATACAAACACAATATTCTTATCATATTTGAGAAAATATATTGTTTTCATTTTCATTTACCCCAGTGCCGAAAAGGCTCCCACCTACGGTGGGGTAAGAAGGGGTCAGATGTACGCAGTCTTACCCCTGTACTAAAGCACAGAGAGACTGTTTCCGGATGACCCATAGTGAAAATCGTGTCCAAAATTGCATGGACCGACTGCAGCTCCATAACAAAGAAGCGCAGACAGTTTAGTGAGCTATTTTGCTTTATTCCCAAAATAGGACTAATTACTGTCATGTTTTGGCAGTACCAGACTTCAAACATGGCATGATTTTCTAAACATGACAGTAATTAGTCCTATTTTGGGAATAAGAAACATGACAGTCCTATTTTGGAATTTGGAAATTGTTTTAGTCCTATTTCAGGAACTTTCCCATTTTCTTTCTCATATGTGGTGATTTTTGGTACTCCGTATAAGATAAGCGGAATAATAAATGAGCGGGAGATTTTTCTCTCGCTCACGTAGTGCTTTTAGGTATATAAGAAGATATCACATAATTATAGACTTCCCCATATACAATGTCCAAACATATATTTGACTGGTTATCTATAATCATGCATGCACATCATAAATTTCAATTGAGAATGCAGAAACCGACCATGATGCAATTCTATCTTTACACCATTATATTTCTTTATTATTTAATTGTTAGTGTGTCTATGTCACATATTAAATAGGTGGATTTCAACTTCAATATGTTTAGTAACAACAGATAATTGAGTAGACTAATAATTGAGCATGAGAATTTTCTGTCTCATATGTAGTGTTTTTACGTATAAGATAAGCAGACTAATAATTGGGTGGGAGAATTTTCTCTCATATGCAGTGTTTTTAAGTATACGAAGATAAACGAACTAATAATTGAGCGAGAATTTCTCTCATATATAGTTCTTTTAGATATAAGACAAACATGTTAATAATTGAGCAGAAAAATTTCTTCTTTCAATATGTAGTGCTTAAGTATAAGATAAACGGATTAATAATTGAGCGGATAAATTTTCTCTCTCATTCGTTGTGCTTTTACATATAAGAAGGTAAACATGCTAATAATTGAGCGAGATAATATTCTCTCTCATACGTAGTCCTTTTAAGTATTAAATAAAATAAATTAATAAAAAATAAATAAATAAGATAAGCAAAGCAAAGCAAAAAAATTGAGCATCCCAGGAGATTTTCTTTATCACATGTAATGCTTTTAAATATAAGATAAACAAACTAATAATTGACCAGAAATTGTTTGTCTCTCATGACGTTTTAAACTTATGGGAATACATTTTCCTATAATTGTCACCTATGTTATAACAACAAATCAATATCAAGCTCTATCACTTGAAAAGGATGCAATATTTCTACCTAGATGCATTTTAATCCTTTAAAGTTTTATATATGTGGCGTTATCAAGGGTTTAGAAAACATGAATTGATGATTTTAATACATGATAATAAAAGAAAATCATTAGACATTACCACTAAAAGTTTTCTTTAAATTACATTTTCAAAACTCTAACAATTAAGTTTAATATTTCACTATTTGTTACCAGCAATACTAATTATTATTACATATCAAATTCTAATGGGATGGTGTTGATTTATTTTTACTTCATTTTCTTTTCATTTGAATATTTGTTGTATGAATTTATACTCCATTTTTGAAAGGATGTAAAATTGTAAAAAAAACTATTTTAACATTTAATCAGATCGTAAATAAAAATATAAATGGAACAACTGTTTTTTCCCGTGTGTATGCACGGGTACTGTGCTAGTTTCCTTCAAAATATTTAGCAGATTTAACTAGGGATGGACTGGGCTGGTTCGGACCGACCCGGTACCCGGCCCGAACGCTACTGTGCGGTACCGGCCCGGCCAACCGGGACTAGGACCGGGCTCTGGGGCCCGAACTGGGGGTCAAATAGGGCAGCCAAAATATCTTTTTTTAGTTTTTTGGCATTGGGCCACTGCTAGGTGGGTTGGGCTGGGTGTTTTGGTGGGGTTTGGGGGTGAGGGGAAGTGGGGGTAGGAATAAATTAGAAAAAGACTTTTTCAAAAAAAAATTGACCCAACCCGACCCCGGCCCAGTTCAAACCTGGACCGATACCGGACCTTCAGCCCAAATCCCTGGTCTCACCCAATACAGGTCTGGGGCCCCATCCGACCCAGGCCCAGTCCACGCCTAGATTTAACCACACTATCATTTAGCTAAATATCCTGCTTAAACTTGCAACCATTTATCGCAATTATTTTTCTCTCGTAAAATAAAGAGAATAAGTGCAACAAGAATATCAAATGGAGCCTGATAATTCTTCCATTGCATTTATCTTCAAAACCCACACCCTTTATCTTCCAATAATACATGTGACATAAGAAAAATAGAAGCATCAAAATTAATAAAGGGGTGGACCAGGTTTCTGGACCCTGATTTGGAGGGCTATGCTACCCAGTCTCAGGTTCCAGAATTTTGTGACTGAAACTGGGAAGTCTGGTCCGGACAAGTTAACTATTTTTTTCTTTTTCATATTGGTATGGAGGAGTGTAATTTAACAGATCACTTCATTAATAGCTTTAATGCGTTCCCATATTTCATACTCCAAGTCCGTGTGAAACTTTTCTATATGAGCCAATACGTGTGTGTGGTGTTTATGGCTACTTACATAATCCTGCAATATATTTTAACTAAACCTTGGGAGCCTCTAAGCGAATATAGTCATACATAATTCCTTGGAAGGGACTTTGATTTCTAGGCTGAGTCAAGTAAATGGTATTCTCTCCTTCAGACAGCAGATTTCCTTGTATATCCACATTGAATAGCCAGTACAGACCATGGATTCCAAGCCTCGCTATGGAGTTATCCCTCCCAAACAATCTGCTCGTAAACAGCGGTCGATTTGTACTTGGGTTATTAACCCGAACCTTCAACCAAATTTGGTATTAGCGATACAAAAGACAGAACAAAAAGTAGTAAGAGCCAGTGTTCATTATTTCCATTTATTTATCTATATTACAAAACCTGTAACTCGGCAAGGGTTGAAGATGCAATTGCCACTCGCAGCTTGTAGGTTCCATTTTGATGGACATTAGCAAGTCTGAACTTGATTTGCCATGTCGTTCCTACATATGTACCATCCTCCTTTTTCCTGTATTCATCAGTGCTGCTTGTCAATTGGAAATAGCCAAACAAGAAGCATAAAAGAAAATGTAATAAATCATTTGGTATTCATTTGGGAAGACGAGGGAATTTTATAGTACGTAATTGGAAAGAAAATGTAGGGAAAATTAAGATAGAACTAAATTCAACAGATTTATTTTAGATATTTGAAAACTTTATGAAATTATTACATTTTTACGACTAAAATAAATGTTATTTATCAAAATGTGACTTCTTATGTGAAGTGACTATAATAGTAACTTAGTCATGGTGGCTTATATTCAATTTTTTAATTTAAGTGATCATGGCATTGTAATATAGTAATTATTAATCATATTGTGTTAATAAGTTTTATTTCAATAATATTTTTTTAAAAAAACTCAAGCTTTATTTACTCATGCATGCTTAGAAGTGAGAAAATACCGAAATATCAGTACAGTATGTTACCGTACCGTATTAATTTGGTACGGTAACGGTATAGAATCTTTATTTCTATAATTTGCAATAGAGCCAAAGATTCACTATTTTTTGACTTGAGAATATGATGGAATAAAGCAAATTGGCTCACTAAACTGTTTGCGCTTATTTGTTATGTAGCGGCAATCAATCCATGCAATTTTGGACGTGATTTTCACTATTGGTCATCCGAAAACAATCTCTTTGTGCTTTAGTACAGGGGTAAGACCGCGTACATCCAACCCTCTCTTACCCTATCGTAGGTGGGATCATGGGAGCCTTTACGGCACCGGGATAATGATGATGATGAATGGTATGAAATCTTTAAAAAAAAATTGGTATCACGGTATATGCCGAAGTACCGTTAAATTTCGGTATACCAATGTTATAACGAAAGCCCAACTGAACTGAACATATAATAGCTTTATCTATTATGAATTTCAATAAAACCAATGGAATAACCATAACCCAAAAGTCCAAACAATACTACTTTTTTCTAAATCCCAATGTTTGTCTAGTCTTCATGAATCAAGACTTCAAGAGTTAGGTCAGGAGTTGAGGAACGCCAAGGTCTTTCTCTTCTATCACAAGTCACGACGAACTCATGAGGAGTTAACAATGCGGCAGCAACCGGCGGTTCCACTGAAGCAGCATCAACCAGCGTTTCCAGTGAAGCAGGATATAATCACAGTCCGTAGATACAACGAAGCAGGAAGCCCACTGCAAGCAAAGACACGAAGCAGGGAGCCGACTGCATATAAAAATTGTTTGCAAAATCTTTGACGGCAAAGCTTCTCTCAATCAAGTAATGCGTTCAACCTTGTCTTTGTTTCACTTGTTTAGACCTTTTTGCAAATAGAAATTTATAATGAACTTACAGTAGGGAGTAGCAGAAGTATTCTAAAAATAATACGGAGTATCTTATATGTTTATGCTACATTGACAGTGACGGAACTACTAAGGGGCTTGGGGGGTTGTGCCCTTGCAGTTTTTTTTATTATGTATATATATATTAAGATATGGCTGAAACGTTTGATCAAGGAATGTATGTTGGCCCTGTTGGTTGGTGACTTGGTTGGAGGGGAAATGTGCGAATTTGCAATTGGAACTTGGAATGCGGTCAGAATTGGTTGATAAGGGTCCTGGTGCATTTATTTATGCTGGAGCAGAGATAGTGGAACGAAGCAGTTCATCTTAGGAATGGGATAAACTAGAGCAGAACTTAACAGTTTACCAAACTGATGAAACTTGAGATTACAGCATTGGCAATTAGTGGCAACGGGAGGAATATTATTAAAGGGGTTGATGATTGTCAGATTTACATTTACTCAGATTCCTTAATAACTTATTAAGATCAAGATCTTAGGTTCAACTGTTAAGTCTGTCGATTGGATAGAAATTGTGAAGAGACATCGCTGCCTTCAAATTGATAACACAGATAGACCTATTCACTATGTAAGTCATACCATAAAACACTTCCTCTTGCCGCCGCCGGCCTTCCCGGAGACTGGAGTTCTAGAGACGCAACAAATTACCCGCTTTGCTGGAGACCATAGTTTTAGAGCCGCAGCAAGTTACCCGTCTTATAGGAGACCTTCACTTTCTCTTTTATGTGCCCCTCCAAGATCCTAAGTTGGTTCCGCCGCTGTTCATTGACAGCCACAATCACCTTAGTATGCTAACAAGTGGAAGAATGAGTATAATCAGGCTTAAAGTTACTTATTATGATTGAATGAATCCAAGTATAACAACTTTCTTTTTAGAAACTTAAAAGATTGAAAAGTCAAGTAACCCTAACTAAACAAACCTTTGACATATTTAGGATTAAATAGGTGAAGTTCATGTTTTACTATGTTAGTAGAAATTTCATTTTTCATTTTCATTTGCTTCTTGGTTTTTCAAATTTGTAAGCATGATTGTTAAGTTTGCTTTTGGAAATTTTGGTTATTTTAATCATTTTACTAAATCTTTTTCTAAAATTTTGTTTTTAAGGAGCCTCAAACCATAATAATACTCCCAAGCTATGTAGTTTACTCGCTACTCGGTAGCAACTCGGTCAAGGGCCGAGTAGCGAGTAGGACCGATTACTCGGGATTACTCGGTGATTACTCGGCCTTGTATTAATTAAATATAATAGTATCGATGCCCGAAATTATAGAAATATAGTAGTCTTAAAATAGTCTTTAAATTGTCTTAAAATGCATAGAAGTGAATAAAAGTATAGAAATCCTATTATCCTAATGATGGAGTAGCAAAAGTCATAAAGCAAAAATGATAAAGTAGTCAATCATCTAATAAGTTGGTTTGATATTAATATTCATTGGGTTCAAGGTCGTGATTTTTTTCTTCATCATCCATGGCTCCATGTCCCCAAATAGATCTTCACCAAATAGATATTCAGTAGAGTCACATTCCCCACTTGTGCTTCCTCTTCCACTTCCGGGTCATTTAAATCAATATCAAGCCGTCTATACGCAGACTGTGATGCATTCACATTCTCACACTCTATACGTAGTATAAAAGGAACTTGGCTAAGAAACTTAGTAGCTTGGAATTCAATGGTCAACAATTGCGGCTGCAGCAGTTTGAATAATCCCATGATTGATTTATTTTTTTTAACAAGAGGAGAAGAAACGAGGGAAAGAATTACCCGTTGATGTCACAATCGCAGTTCCTCGCAGTAGCCCTGTAGCACTCGCAAGTGACTCCCAGCAGCACTGTAGCAGTCGCAGCTCGTAGCGGTTGGAGCTCCTGGCAGTAGCAGTCGCAGCTCCCAACGATGTAGCAGCAGTAGTCGAAGCCCCCCAAACGATGACCGATTAAATTTTTAGGTTTTGTGTGCAGTTTTTTTTATATACCGAGTAATAGCGAGTAACTCGCCAATTTGACCAACTCACCGAGTTGACTAACTCGCCGAGTAACTCGGAAAATTAACTCGGGTCGAGTTAAGGTGCTACTCTGTAAGGTAAGAGGCCGAGTAGAGAGTACTTGCCGAGTAAATAACCCAGCTCCCAAGGTCAGGTTTTCTTCTTTTTGTTTTCAAAGAAAGTTGAAAACAGAAATATATTAGTGAGTTATATAATGTTGCAGTTAATCCCCTTATATTTCAAGTGGGACAAGGCTCAAATTGGACACTATGGTTTCATGAGAATCTCATATTGGACACTAAGGTTCTAAATAGACCAAATTGGACACTATGGTTACATATTATCTCATATTGGACACTGAATTTTCATAATTCATAGTTTTTGGACACTCACTTATGATTCTCTTTTTCCTTTAATAAAAATCGTTATTCTTACATTTCCTTTCCTTTTTGGTGAAAGTAAACCAATTTAATTACGTATATAATTTTGGAATATTTAATTTGAAGTTTTAGAATATATAATTTGATTTTTATTAATAACTTCTTATATTTAACAATTTAAAAATATATTTAGAACTTTTCATTCATCTGATTTTTATGGAACTTTGAGAAATAACTATTAAATTGATTTTAAAATATTAAAGAATTCAATTACATTATAATAGATTTTCTTAATTGGAGCATCTAATTATATAATCTAAATCTAAATACACAAATTAAGTTGTTTTTTTAGGTACATAAAACCAAGAGAAAAAGGAATACTTATATCTTTCAAAGTGAAAATCTTTGATGGGTGTCCGAAAATGATCAGAAAAACGCAAAGTTTGATCAATTTGAAACTTTAGTGTCCGATATGAGACACACAAGTAACCATAGTGTCAAATTTGATTCATTTGAAACCTTAGTGTCCAATATGAGATTCTCTTATAACCATAGTCAAGTTTTCTTCTTTTAGTTTTCAAAGAAAGTTACACACGGAATAGTGAGTTTATAAATGTCTCAATGAGTTTATTCCCTATATCTCCATTTTTTATTTCTGAGTAACCTACTACATATAATACTTTTCCAGAAAGCTTAATAGGTGTTTTAGTTTGATAATAATTATTTGTTTCCAATATTTGACTAATATAATATTTATTTGATTTTCAGAATTAAATGGAATCTCAATCATCTCACTCGTTGCAAGTCCGTCTCAAGCGGGGAGCACAAAGACCTCCTGTAGCGCGTAAAGCGGGGAGCGTGTATTGGGAACATTGTGCAAAGGGTACAAGGACATTGGCAGGAGCATTTAAAATATTGCAAAATGCAAGCACTGCAAAGTTGAGATCCCGATAACTTATGGAAGTACTAATGGTTTTAAAAATCACTTAGTCAAGAGATGCAAGTCAAGTACTCTATACGACGCAAGGAGTGATAGAAGTCAAGTTGTACTCACGAATGAGTTGATGGGACAAGTAGGTGCATTAGTTCCTCATACTTTCAATAAAAAACGGTGTGAATTGAAACTTACCAAGTTTGTTATAATGGCCGAAATGTCTTTTCGAGCTGTAGAAAGGAAAGTGTTTGTTAATCTTTTGCATAAATTACAACCTAGGTTCAAAATTCCCGATAAGAAAAAAGTTGCATGCATGGTTTATGATTATACTTCGTTGAAAAAACTAAGATAAAAAGTGTGATAAGTGGCCAACGAGTATCACAACTAATACTTGGACATCCATTCAGAACATTAATTACATGATTGTCACAATTCATTTTTTAGATGGTGATTGGAAGTTGCACTAAAGAATCATTAATTTCACAAAAATCAATAGTCATGTCGGGGAAGAAATAGGCAAGATGTATGTTTAAAAGAATGAAGGATAGAAAAAGTGTACTCTATAGTGGTTGATAATGCTTCTTCAAATGACACAACAACTGATTACTTAATAAAAGAAAAGTGAAAACACGTTATTATTTGAAGGAAATTTGTACTTGAGGTGTGCACGTCACATCCTTAACTTAATTGTTAAGGATGGATCGGAAGAACTTAAGACTTCAATTAAAGTTATAAAAAAATGCAATCATGTTTCTTCATTCTTCAACGGCTAGGTTGAGTAAGTTTTGAGAATTTGTTGTGTTAGCCAAATTTTCTAATATGTCAACGGTGCTAATGGATGTTAAGACGCAGTGGAATGCAATTTATAAAATGCTTGATGTTGCATTGAAGTATAGAAAAGTGTTTTAGAGGATGAGTGAAGAATTTTCCTTTCATGTGTTATTTTCATAAGAAGAATAACGAAGGTCAAGAAAGGGAAGAACCATCAAGTGCTTCTTTATATTGGGAAAATGCACGAGCTTTTGCGCACCTTTTGAAAAAGTTTTATGATGCTATCTTAGAGCTTAGTGTAACAAAAAATCTCACCTCTCAATTGATGTATCAATCAATAATTGCTCTCCAAATTGAGATTGAAAAAAAGTTATTTGATGACTTAGACGCAATTCTAAAAAAGGTTGCTAGTGCAATGACATCAAAATTTGACAAATATTGGGGAAATTGAAATAATATGAATCCTTTTGTTTTGACTAGCAATGTTCTAAACCCTAAAAGAAAATCCAAATGATTAAAGTTAGCATTAAAAAGGTTCAAGGTGCCTCCCACAAACGTCCAAGATTTCATTAATAAAGTTAAAAAAGATCTTATAACTTTGTGAATGGAGTACAAAGGAATGAATGAGACATTTAGTGTTGAGAGACAAAGTTTGCAAGTGTAATTGGATGATGGAGATGCTAGTGATGGTTACGGGCTTTGGGATGAATTGTTCAATGATGTGGAAGCAAAAAATGAAGAAGAGAAACTTCAAGAGATATCGGATGAGGTGGAACTTCAACTTGATTTTCTTCATTTTGTGCTTCCACATTCAACAATTCATCCCGAAGCCCATCACCACCACTGGTATTTCCATCGTCCGATTGCACTTGCAAACTGTCTCTCAACATCAAAAGGTCACATTCGTACTCCATCCACAAAGTTATAAAATCTTTTTTAATTTTATCAATGAACTTTTGGACGTTTATGGAAGTACTTTGAACCTTTTTTATGCTAATGTTAATCATTTGCAGTTTGTTTCTAGGATCTAGAACTTTGCTAATCAAAATCAAAGGATTCATATTATTCTAATTTTTCCAATATTTGTCAAATTTTGACTTAATCGCACTATCAACCTTTTTTAGATTTGGATCCAAGTCATCAAGTGACTTTTTTCAATCTAAAATTGGAGAGCAATCATTGATTGATACATCAATTGAGAGGTGGGAATATTTGTTGCACTAAACTCAAAGGCAGCATCATAAACTTTTTCAAAAGTGCACAAAAGCTCATGCATTCTCCTAATTTAAAGCACTTAGTGGTCCTTCCCATTATTGACTTTTGTTATTCTTCTCATGAAAATAACACATGAAAGAAAAGCATTCTTCACTCATCCTCTCAAACACCCTTCTATACTTCAATGCAACATCAAACATTTTATAAGTCGCATTTCACCGCGTCTTGACATCCATTGGCACCGTTGACATATTAAAAAATTTGTCTAGCACAGCAAATTTTCGAAACTTACTCAACCAAGACGGTGAAAAATAAAGAAATGTGACTGTATTTTTTATAGCTTTGATTGAAGTAGTTCTTCTAACCCATCCTTAACCATTAAGTTAGAGGTGTGACATGCACACCTTAAGCGCAAGTACTTTCCTTCAAATAAAAACATGTTTTCAATTTATTCTCTTTTGGGAAAACTATCAAATAA